CATCCCCAATAAATCCCCAGATTATAGCTATTAAATACCAGAATTATAGCAAATTAGTAAAGATATATACAATAATTACAGCTGATATTGACTCACTATACAGCTGTTATTGACACCCCCCCTCAAACCCCCCTTCAAATTGATGCTGGTGATCATAGCCAAACAATCAATTGTTTACGAAATTGATGTCAAGGCAGGCAGTTGAGGGGCTTGGTCAGGATATCAGCGATCTGCTGGTGTTTGATGAGAAATATATGGAGGACTAGATTACATTAACTTTTATCAAAAACGGAATTCTCGGATTGAATGACAGTCTATTTCAATGTGTGGTGCGCTCATGGTAGATCCTGGATTAGCGACAATCTGGATGGCACTAGTATTATCCGCATGAAGAGGAATTGACCCAGCTTTGAGTATAACCCAATTCAGATAACAAACCACGCAAACCATGATTATTTCTGAGCAATGTTCCCCAGACATTGCCCTACATATGTCGCTTCAGTGGAAGACTTGCGAGACTTTGTCTTGGGTTCTTGGCATTTCCAAGAAAATTAGAGCTTCACCTAAATATACGACACCACCCGGTTGCTAGACCGACCGAGTATCCGGGCAACCCGCCCAATCAGAGTCACTATAAGCTAGCAAGAAGTAAGGGGAAAGTTAAGCTGAAAAAATAGACCAACGATGTGGAGTTCCATGCAAGTACCGAATTTTCACAGCAACCATATGTAAGTGGCGTGGAGATGCCATGAATTGGACTCATCAAATTGACAGCAAAAGAGATATTCGGTCTTGTTATTGTCAAGTAGATAAGACTTCCAACAAGGCGCCGATATAATGTAGGATCCTGTAGAAGTTCACCCTCCTCTTTACGAAATTTGACATTAACTTCCATAGGAGTATCCACTGGTTTTGTGTTTGTTAACCCAACCAAGTGAATTAGTTCGTGAATGTACTTGTGTTGATTTACGAGGATTCCCTTGGTGCTTCTGTGAACTTCTAATCCCAGGAAATAAGTAAGAGACCCTAGATCTTTCATGTGAAATGAAGCAGTTAAAGATGATTTCAATTGTTGAATGCAAACAGTATCACTACCAGTGATTAAAACATCATCCAATATTGTACAAGTAAAACTACACTATGCCTTGAGTCTGTCTTTTGGAAAAATATAAAGAAGGATCATATTGTACCTGTTGGAGGAGAAGATGCAAAGCAACAGTGATTGACGAAATGTTGCAACCAGGTACTAGGGGCTTGTCAACCCATACATAGAGAAGCGTCATCAGATGACATACCTCATTTTTGGGACCAGTTCTCGCCACCCGTGTGGCGCGACGTGCATTAAAAACCATTTTATTTTAAGATCCCCGTGAAAGAGAATGGCATTTCTTAACATCCATTTGATGTATAAAGCCAGTCTTGAGAAGCTGCAATAGCCAAAATTAATTGTACGAACTGTAGTCATTTTCGCGACCGGAGCAAATGTTTCGTCATAGTCAATCCCATATTCCTGGCGATTTCCTAGCGCTACCAGATGAGCTTTACAACGTTCAAAAGAACCATCTGCTTTCAATTTGACAGTAAAAACCCATTTGGAACCAATGGGAGTGATTTCTGGTGGACACGGTTTAAGTTGCCAAGTCTGATTCTCTGCCAGAGCATCCAATTCATCTTGAATAGCTTTCTTCCAACAATCAGATTTAATTGCTTCTGAATATGACTTTGGTATGGCAATAGAAGACAAAGTAGCAACCATGGATGTATGAGATTCATTTTTTCTTTCTGGAGAGAAACCGTACCTGTCTGGGGCTCTGATGGTTTGAGCAGATCTTCTAAGTGGTGGAGGTGCAATGTCGAGCTCAGGTGGCAGAGGGGACCCAGGCGAAGCTTCAAGTGCCATTACTGTTGATGGAGTATCAGATTGTTGTTGAATTTGTCTATGAACAGGTCTTCTAGTATGAACAGGTCTTCTAGTATACACAATCCCAGGATGAAATCGGGTTATTGGAAGAGAAGAGTTGGAAGGTGAGTCATTGAAGTTGTCTTCACCAAAAGATGGAAAGCAGTATGCTATAAGAAAGAGGTATGGGATGAAGCCTTCAAAGGAAGAGTAAAAATATTTTTTGGTATCGAAAAAAAATGAAACATTACGAGAATACGAATTCCGTTGGGTGGTTGGATCAAAACACTTTAAAACCCTATTTTGATTTGGTTTCGTAGCAAGAAAGACACATTTTATTGATTAGTGGGGGAAAGCTTGGTTCGTTCGTGAGGTGGTAGAAGGACAAAAACATACACATCCAAAAGGATGTAAAATGTTTTATAATTTTGGTATGGTTTTATGAAGCAAAAAAGTATTGTTGTTTGATTATTGAGGAGTCTATGAAGGGAAGTCGCGATTTATTGGTGATGTCGGCAGGGGATTAAGGCTTCCTCAACCAAAATTTTGTGATGCGAACAAATGATTCAATGAGCAAAGTTCGAACCACATCAAGTAAATGGCGATTTTTCGCTCAGCCAACCATTTTGCTGAGGGTATATGGACAACTTCGTTGAGAGATAGAAGCCCTTTTGATTGAAGAAAAACTTGGAATTTTTGTGACATGTATTCCCCCACCCGATCAGAACGCAATTTTGCATTAGTTCTTAGAATTACTGAGTTTTTCGATTAAGGCTAAAAAATTTTTGGAAAAACATCAAAGGACACCTGATTCTTTGTCGTAAAAAAAAGGTCCAAGTGAAAGCAAAGCGTGTAAATCATCAATGAACGTTACACCAAATATTGTAATGATTATGAGAAATTAACAGAGTGATCCCCAACATCCACTATGGATCTAAATCAAAAGATTCATTTTTTATGAGTAGCATGAGATGGAAAAAGGTAAGGTTTCGCTATTTACCCATTTTGCAACTAGGAAAAATTTACAAATCAATATTTTTAGACAAGGTTTTAGTCCCAACCACACCATGAATTAAACAAAAGAGAATAGTCTTATCATTAGGATGAAACCCAATTCGATGCCAATAATTGATATTTCATCTTGAACTTGAAGTAGTTAGAAAAGAAGACACACTTTGAAGGCTTGGTCGGTTCAGGGATTAAGAGGAAACCCAATCTGCCCCCATTTTAGGTCCCTATTGCCACCGTTTTTCCCCGTCACTTACCTCTTGCACAACACAACCAGAGGGAGAAAAAAATGACTTCACAATTATCTGCACTATTGTCCACAAGATAGATAAAATTCTGTTAGTGATTTTAGGCAATAAAAACATTCTTCAGGAAAAAGGAGAGGAAGAAATATCACCAGTAAGCCTAATGGGAACATGATTCCCACTAGCAGTCTCGATTTTCAAGTGCCATCATATTTTTTTAATGTTAACACAAATGTCAAGTGATGGAGTCATGTGATTTCGATGCAGCTGGAATCACAAAGCCAGATTTTAGGAGACGGGGATTTGTTTTTTTTACCCTGTAATCAAAGTGCAGGGGAAAGAGACTGAAATGACCTATTTGTTGAACTGGCCTCTTGAAGTAAGAGTACAGGAACGCTTGTTTTGAGAAGCATTATTCGATGTTGTGCCGTCAAATGATTTGGTTGTTGAAAGGCATGCAAAGCCTGAGATGTACGATTTCTGGGGACGCTTCTTTCTACACTCTGAAATAATATGTCCCTTAGTTTTGCAATAGTTGCAAAATTTTTGGAACATTGACTTGCAATATGACCAAATCCTTTGCAGCTGTAACATTGGACTCCAGCCAGGTTCCGAGTTTTGGTTTGTGCTGCATACGCAACATTGAGAACATTGGATAAGCTGCCTTGCTGTTCTAAGGCATGCAGCTGCCTTGCTGTTCTAAGGCATGCTGCGTCTTTTGACGTTGTTCCTCCCTAAGCAATTCACTCAAACAATCATCCAAAGATGGAATGTTAGTCCTAGCCAACAAATTGGATCTGACAATCTCAAATTCAGATCTGAGATTCATCAAAAAACGATCTCTTTGACTAGTTTGATGAAGGTTTATGACTGTCTCCAAAGATGCTTCAAGAATAGAAGCATATAAAATCTCAGTATATTCAGTCCACAAAGCAACAAAACCCGAATAATATTCCTGGATTGACAAATTTCCCTGCGTGTAAGTGGACACATCTTGCTCCAGTTGAAAATGCCTAGCTGAATTATCTTGAGCATACACTTTTTTTAGATACTCCCACATCGCTTTCATTGTTTTGAATGGTCTGAGGTTGACAGCAATGGAAGGATCCATTGTTTGCAACAACCAGCTTTTCACACGAGCATCTTTTGTTTCCCATTTAGCTATTTTAGTTGAATCCGTCGGCTTACTAGTCGAACCATCAACATGTCCCCATAAGTCTTTTCCCTGAACATAAATCTTGAATTGAAATTCCCAAGCAAAGTAATTCTTGCCTGTGAATTTGATGCAAGCAACAACGTCAGATTTTTCCATGATTAGAAAACCAAGATGATATAACAAGATGATATGAAAAAGGGGGAAAAAAAACAACACAAGATGAGAACTATCTCAGACAAGAAAAACACAAGGGGTATTCCTCGTAAGCTCTGATACCCATAACAAGACAAAGGAATTTTTGGAGAAAAATTCTTATATCCTTCATGCTTCTGTATCATTATACATTTATACAAGAGATAGCCTACAATATTCCTAAATTTAAGCACATCACATCCCATATTTACATCCCCAATAAAATCCCCAGCATTACAGCTATTAAATACCAGAATTATATAAATCCCCAGATTACAGCTATTAAATACCAGAATTATAGCAAATTAGTAAAGATATATACAATAATTACAGCTGATATTGACTCACTATACAGCTGTTATTGACACTAAGATGAAACCCAGTTTACCATGTGAGCCTTTGAAAGGCTTAAATGCTCCTTTGCGGGATGCCCTTCACACTTTAGTCAATCTTCATGCGTGTGATAGAGAAAATAAAATTAGCAAGTATTATTCATGGTGTGAAATACTCCATTTTATGTTTACTGAATCCTCCCCTATTCTTTAAAATTTCTGTACGACTATGTTGTATTCACAGCTTTTGGAAGAACTCAACAAGGGGGGACTGAGAGCTGATGGTGATAATGGTATGTTAATATGACCCTGAACTACTGTACATAGTCAAGCATTTCTTTGCAGTCTTTAGAAGGATATTATAAGATTAGGATAAGATTAGTGTTTCTGTTTTGTGAAATGCTGCTAGTGGATCCTGTTTACCGCATGTGCACTTTCAGAGTCCATTTTTAGATTTCTTTCCCTTTCCTGGTACAAATGATATCCAAAATGCATTTATTGATTTATATCTTTTTTATGGCAGAATGTGATAGAACCTCACTGGGAAAATCAATTAGCTTTTTCAGGTCGTCGTTCTTGCGACCTCTACTAAAATCTTGCAAGGTATATCCTGAATCAACTCGGCATGCACTGTTTGTTATCTTCATTTTAGGAAGCTTATTTAGTATTCAGTTGAATTAGCTCCTGTCCTGAACATTACTTCAGTTATTCAAACCTTCATTGCTGCCTATGTTCAAAGTATGAACTATGCGGTTCTCTTGTCTCAGTAAATAGGAAGTAGAACTTCGAAATCAAGAATTTCTGTACAAAAGACATTAATTTAGGAAAATTCTAAGGTCAGTTTGCTTTCAACGAAGTACATAGTACATTGTAAACATTGCCTGTGAAAGAATGAAATGATAAATGCTCAACTAATGGTGGGAAAAGCGAAGTACTGAGTAAAATGAAACCTAGACTGCCCCAGAAGGAATTAAAATCTGTTTTAGCTGTAGTTGAGAAAAGCATTATCTTATAGATGAGGTTATTAAAGTTTGTTTCAGGTGAATGTTATATGTTTTAGTCATAAAAACTTTTAAACAGTTACGCAACATTTTCAGACTGTTTTTACCAACAGCATATAATATGATACTTTTGCTGATAAGTTGTTTCAACCTTTAGTGCCATATAGGCTCTTATACATTTCATAAAGCAAATTCTGTCATATATATATATGAAGCATCATTATTTGCACCAAATTTAACTTAAGCTCCGATTTAATTTGTATGCTAGCTTACATTACAAAGCAACTCAATTGTCCATTTCTTGTTGTTTGGATACTATGAATAGGGGTGTAAACAAGCCAAGCCGAGCTCAATTTGAAGCTCAAGTTCAACTCAAAAAATTTTAAGTTCGAGTTCGGCTTGAGGCACAATTAAACCTAAAATAATATTACATACATGTATATATAAAAGCTTGTAAGGCTCGGCGAATTTTTGAGCTAAATATCATCAGGCTCGAGTTTGGTTGGTTTGCTAAATGAGGCTCAATTTGAGTCGAAATTTTTCTAACTTTTTTTGAGGTCGAACAGCTTGCGAACCGGTTCAGCTCATTTATACTTTTATCTATGAATACTTAATCCTCGTAGAATTGATCTAAGTGATTTGAAATTTACAGGAAGAGATAGAGAGTTCCCATAATGCAAAAATCCAGAAGTCAAAGAATTCCATCAGCTGGTAATGCTTTCGCCAACATGTTATCCTGCTCCTGGTGTATAGAGAAGGTCCGGTCACATTCAACTTATAATCGTGCTTTAAAAATTAAGTTAACTACGAATTTAACCAATTACGTAGATGTCTTATACCTGCTTTCTGATTTGCTTTATAATTATATAGATGCTTGTAACCTGTTTGGCACTTGCTTTGCTCTTGTAAAGTACTGGTTTAACAAAGTTTGGAGATTATATGCTCTCACTAACCACTGCACTACTCTTCCTTACCTTTGCATTCTAAATTCTAAATTTCTATTTTTTATTATTTGAAGAACGGAAGCAATTCATTTGTTCGAGGGGTGATAAAAATAGTAAACCTCAACAGAAACTACAGAAAATGTGGGTTTAAAATTGCTTTTTTTTTTTTTCATTGGCCACATGCATAAAAATATTTTGATGTTTAAATGCTTAAAAATATTTTAGCATATTTGAATTAGAAGAGTTACAAAGCTGTGTTGATATGGAATAAAAATTTGCAGGCATCATTTCATGAAATAAAAAGGAGAAAATTTCTAATTTTTTGAATCTCTGCCTACTTTTTTCTTTTTCCTTTTTTTTTTTTTTTTATTTTGAATCTCTGGCTACTTTTTTATTTTTCCTTTTTTTTTTTTTTTTTAATTTGGAGATCAATAAAAAAAATTAAGAATTTTGAATACCATTTTCCTGATCTAATGTTTTCTTTTTCCTTTTTTTTTTTTTTTTAATTTGGAGATCAATAAAAAAAATTAAGAATTTTAATACCATTTTCCTGATTCTAAATGAACCGTCGAGCAATTTGTATTTGGATTATTTAGCTTTATAGTGCTTATCAGTTATCCTTATTCCTTGTATTTGGATTTATTGTAGAGAAACTTTTTTTTTTTTTTTTATAAATCACTGGTTAGAGATTGTCTAATTCAAGCTCAGAGTTTTAGTATAAATGTGTTTAATGAGAATCGAATTCGAAAATTCTTCTCACATATTTAATATATGTTGCCATTTAAATTACAGCTCGTAAACAGAAAGATATATTCACATTATATTTTAAATGAAAGAAGATAAATGGCAAAATAGATAGATATCTAAAGAGTATTTTAATTATTCTAAAAGAAAAGAGAATATTTTAATTGGTAAATGGACGTGTTTGTCTATATGTCGTGTATTTAACGTCAATTAATACTATATTTATACATTTCTTGTATGATATTCTTAAGACTACTATAAAAAAATGCTTTTATATCCATAAGACAAATAATCTTTCCAAAGTTGGAATTTTGATTCGCGAAAAACAATTTATAGAGAAAATATCCATAAATTTTAAAATGAAATTAATTTTATGCCAAAATAGATATAAAATATTTATAAAATATATAAAAAGTGCATTTTCTGATCAAACTTCTATTACGACAGTTTTTACCTTTATGAAATTTGAATTCACTTACCAATCCAATCAACTCATTTTTTTTTGTCGCATTCAACCTTTTCAATAGTTAACAGAGTATAAAAATTTATAATAAATGCTCTTTCTTAATTTTAATATACGATTTAAACTATTAAACTCAATAATACGTAATTATTCACTTGTAGTACATTTCTATCATTTCGAATTACAATAAGATTCCAATTCAGAAATTACCTTTCATTTCATTTCATGTATTTCATCCATTACTAACTAAGAAATTTGTTATCTTAATTAAGTATTTAATTTTATAATATTGTCAAATCTACAAATTAAGCATTTTGAAGAACCTTGAATATAAAAATATAGCATATTATATTTATTTTTTAAAAAATAACAATAAATTATCTTAAAATAATAAAACAACCATGAAATATTATAATAACTGTAACTTTTAAATTAATAGCTGGCATCATCTCCAGTACCGATGATTATTTGGTATGTCAAATTGAGGTGTCAAAAAATAAATAGGTATTACTTATCACACCTTCTATTTCTGAAGGTCGGTTAGATAATGTAAACATTTATTGCTTTGTATTGATTAACAATATATTAAATTGTGGATCTATAAAATAGTGCATATATTTTTAAAATTTAATGTCTATATGACATTTAGCCACATCACCTTTCACATTTGTGTTCGCAACTCGTATTCACAATGCTTCAAGCAATAAAGGTAGATAACTATTACTAAATCATTCAGTTAGGAAAAGAAAAAATTACAATATGATCCATGTAGTTTGCGAAATATAATTAGTCATTTTTTTTTTAAATATACCAATTGTCCTTATATTTTGCTTCCGTTATCATACTAGGTCTTTTTGTCTATTTTTTGCATTTTTTTCATTAAGTCAATAAGAAAATACAAAGATCAAATGAGAGATATTAAATTATTATACTAAAAAAATTACAGTACGGTCCTTATAGTTTGATAACTAGTCTGTTCCTATATTTTTAAAAATAAAAGAGGTATTTTTGTCATTTCATAAGGTACTTAATGGAAAAAATGTAAAAATTAGACGGAAGGACTTTATAATCTAACTGAAGTAAAATATAAGGATATTTTAATTTATTTTAAAAAATACATGAACGTATTAGTTGTATTTTCTAAATTACAGAAATCGTACCGTGATTTTCTCTTAGAAAAATTGGAGAAAAATTAGGGCTAATATGCAATTAGGAGGAAACAAGGGGTTTGTAGTGATGTAAGAGATTCACCCAGCAGGACAGTAGAGTGTACACATATAATACCCATTATTCGAGTGAAGAGCTTTATTGTCGTCAGTTGTCACTCCTCTCTGTTCCTCTATGTCCTCATATTTTCTCTCCTGTGGAGGAAACTGAACCAAGACAAAAAGAGGTAACAGCAGAACAATAACAATGGCTCTCAAGCTCAATTCTTTCATTTCTCAATCTCACAAGTTGCCTACTTTCGCTCTCCCACCAATGGCCAATCTCAGATCTCCCAAGTTCTATATGGCTTCTACCCTCAAGTCCGGTTCCAAGTGAGTTATAAACTTCCATTCCCTGTTTCTTTACTAAACAATGGATCTTTCCATGGTTTCTTGCTATTCAGCCGATTCTGGATCTGGGTTTTCTTTTTTTGCTCTTCTAAATTAGCTTTATAATTCATCATTTTTATGTGGGTTTTTGTTGATTTTCTTTTCATGTGTTCTTATGGGTTTTTTCTATTTGATTTTATTGAGATATGGCTTCATTTCTTTATAGCAATGATTTGTGTACTTTGTCTATGTTTTTCAAATATATTTATTTATGGTCTTTCTGCTTTTTCGTAATGAGGTTCTCTCTCTCTCTCTCTCTCTCTCTCTCTCTCTCTCCTCTAATTTGAACTCTATAGAACTTGTTTCACTTTTGCAATAATTTCTTTTATGATTTTTTTTTATTTGGTTGTGTGTTTCACCTATAAAACTTTCTTTAATTCTCTTATTTAAATTCTTTGAAATTAGTTTTATATTTCCGCATATTATTGGGGTTTTCTGGGGATTTTCTTAGATTTGCTAGTTGGGGTTTATTCAAGTCTCTGCATTTTCATGAATGTATGCTCTGAATCTATAATTGATTTTCTTCTTATTATTAATTGTTTGGAATTTGTCTTCGTTCACTTGTATAGTTTTTCATTTTTGTTATTTAAAATGGCAAAACTATTTTAAATGTGATGATAATGACTGGTTTTTCATATTTATGCTTTTAAATGGCTTTTAATGATGCAATAAACTTTAAGAAAAGGAAATCGTCAAGCAAGATACATTCATATTGCCGAAAACTTAAAAAAACTTTTTCTAGAAAATTTAAAAAAATTTTCTTGCGGCGATTTTAAATTCAGTTTTTGTTCAAGATAATTTTCATCTGAAAATGATATGTTCTTGAAAATTTTCTATTGTTTTCTTCAATTGGATTTTGGTGGTTGGAATAGTTCACCTGGTTTAATTTTGTTTGGTATCTATTTTTAATGCTACCACAGATTTCTATTTGTCCCTTTTTAGCTTGATAATGGTTGGTTAGGATAATTATTATATTAATAATATCATTTTAGGAGGAATCCATGTTTTAAGTGTGCACTTACTCCTTGTCAAAGATTCTGCTGAATCAATATTTGTTGCAATCTTTCTTCTTTTCTTTTTGAGACATTTTTTTTCGATGATGCATATGGCAAACAAATTACAACCATAAAATTTAAGTTTTCACTGATGATTACATTAAAGAAAAGCTAATGAAAGTTCTTAATTTGGCATTTACTTTTTGGTGGAATTTTCATTCATATAATATGTTGAATTTGATGGCTGCATGCTTGTCCACCTGTTGCTTGCTCGTTGTTGTTGTTTTCCTGCCTAGATTTTTCTGTATTTGGAAGCTTCTTGAATGATGGATGTTTTCAATTGTGATTCTGAAGCGCATGCCCAGGGTCAGGCTTTGTTTTCTTTCAATTTATTTTCTTCCTTTTTTTGGAAGTTTTCTGCAAGAAAATGCTTGGATTATTATATTAGCTGTTCTATTTGTTCTTCTCTACTGTGTTCTATTTTATTTCATACTTACAATATTAACATGATGAGTGATACATGTAAAACAACTCTGCATGTGCCAATTCAATTTAGAAAAGGTCACTGCACTTTTATGGGCTGATTTGATGGTATAATTTTTACTTTGCTTTTACCATTTCTTTTATAATTTTTTTGAAAGAAAATAATGTTTCATTTTTATTTTCTTTGAATATGGTTTAGTCTTTATCTTGGAAAAGGACTTTGAAGTGGGTGAAAGTGGTTATGGACTTGTGATGCTTAACTTAAGTAGGCAGATCCCTTCTTGAATTAATTAAGCAGTGGAATCTTTGACTTTCGAAGGTGCAGCTGTTTGTCATGTTTTTAGGACTAAATTTTGGTTTCTGCTTCTTGGCAGTTAAGAAATCTCCGCATTATTCAACAAGTTTGTGAACTTGAATTTTGTTTTCAATCTTTTTTGAATTTCATCAGTTGTCTTTTTAACTTAGTGATCCATGCGTGGCTGCATTAGTTATAAGTATTTATTTTTATTCTTTTTGAATGGCCTAAATAGTTTTATTTACTTTTTTGGTGTCATTGGAGGTGAATATTTAAGTTGGTAAACCTAGATTTGATTTCTGTGTACGTGCAGATCATTGACTATTTTCTAAATTACAGCTGCTATCATGTTTGCAAGAGCTGAGGACTCTTATTTTTTAAGTTGTCTTAGTTTTGGTAGTTATTAGTCAACTACTTTGCTGATCTCATCTTGTATTAATTTTATAGCGCCTTTGTGATAATTGAATATAATTTTCTTTTTCTATCAGTTCTCATCGGCAATGATTCCGCACTTAGGTTCTATCTTATGTCCCATTTTTGTTGCCTTTTTCTTAGGAGTTAGATTATCATTTTTGGGTATGGTAGTGGTATTTCTTGGTTGCTTAGTGATAGACTGTGGTCAATTCTGTTCTATATGGATGATATTCTCCTAATTACTCACATGATGCTTGGCTAAGGGGCGCAAAGGGGAAGGGAAGGAATGGATGGATGAGAAGATAAAATTTCTATCTAATCATGTTTGGAAAATTAAAAATTAGATGTGTAAAACAAAAGACGCATAATATCTTTATTTTGTTTGGATGGATAGAGGAAGAGTAAATTTAATATTTAGAAAACAAAATAAATAGTATCTTTTAATTTAGTTTTACATTGTTTATGCAATTATAACGATAAAAGGGACAGTTTGAGTTTATTTAATTAGTTTGAAATGACTTACACTATGAATTGGAGTGTGACCAACTTTGACTCTTAGGAGCGAATGTTGGGGAATCCTTGACCTTCTTTTCCATACCCCTTCAAAAATAATTAAATGCCAAATAAAGTTAAGAGGATGATTTTCCCTCTGTTCCCTTTACTTTGTCCTCAATTCACTAAAAACCATGCATAGTGTTGATTCTCGGGTGGATCATGTGCTGTATGGTATAAAGATGAATTAACGTTAAGTTTTTGTTTGATAACTTCATCCAAAATGCCTTTTGAAGTGTTTAAAACTTTTGGATAAGGCCAATAATGTTCTCATTCAAGCTGGTTCTTCAAGAAGGAACTGTTTTGATAGTCTTACCTTTGGCAACTTGGCATGAAGCACTCTCGAGTCCTAAAGTTTTACCAAGAAAATTGTCAATTTGAGATTGTGATCATGAATTAATATCCTTTTTCTGAACTGTGAATTGAATCAAACCTTAAATTGTAACATTCAATAATAAACTAAAATATAGAGGAAACGAAAGACAAGTACTCAATTAAAAATGAATATTTTGTTTCTAAAATGAGGAGAACACTGTAATCAATGTGTCTAACAATGTGATTGGGATTTGAAATGAGAACTGTGTCCCTCGTAGCTTATGTGGATACCTGGCATCTGTATTTTCCTTTTATTTTGAGTTAAATTCCATATGAAAATGTAGAGTTCATGTGTTATGTTAAACATTACTTGGGTTGGGTGTGCTAAACGTTGTTCTCTTGGAGCTAGAATGGCTGAATCCATCTAATCATTACTATGCAAAAATTTCCATATTCTTTAGAGACTCCAACCATAGCAAGTTAGGTATTGCATGACATTCTTTGAGCTCATTCTCATAAAATTTTGAACCAACAAGCTCAAGAACCATTAAATCGGTTTCAGTGTGTGAAAATACTTGAATGGCTACATTGGATAGTGCACTTTCATTTAATCATCTTTTAATTTTGTGCAAAAATAATTGATTGGAAAATAGGCACATTGGTTGCATTTTGTCCATGAGCTTTGTTGTTTTACTTCTATGGCAATTATGCTTTCAGTTTCAGCTCCTACCTTCCAGTGTCGTATTTCCATAATTCTAAATTTTTCTACTTGCAGGGAGGTGGAGAATCTTAAGAAGCCTTTTATGCCTCCTCGGGAGGTGCATGTTCAGGTTACTCATTCTATGCCACCCCAGAAGATTGAGATATTTAAATCTCTAGATGAATGGGCTGAGCAGAACATTCTTGTTCATCTGAAACCAGTTGAGAAGTGTTGGCAACCACAGGATTTTTTGCCTGATCCTTCCTCTGATGGATTTGATGAACAAGTCAGGGAACTTAGGGAGAGAGTGAAGGAGATTCCAGATGACTACTTTGTTGTTTTGGTTGGAGACATGATCACAGAAGAAGCCCTTCCCACTTATCAAACAATGCTGAACACTTTAGATGGAGTTCGGGATGAAACTGGTGCTAGCCTTACTTCTTGGGCAATTTGGACAAGGGCATGGACTGCTGAAGAGAATAGACATGGCGACCTTCTCAATAAGTATCTCTATCTGTCTGGACGAGTGGACATGAGGCAAATTGAGAAGACAATTCAATATTTGATTGGATCAGGAATGGTAATGTCCTTGCCACTTAATTTGTGTTGTCTTAAATCTTCTTATACGCTATTTGAAACAAAGATACATATGTAGATAAAACAGATCTTTTTTCCCGGATTAAAAAAAATCACATAGATAAACAGATACATCAAGATACTTCCTTTATATCAAGCTAAATTTGGTAGATAAGCAATGAAATAGTGATAAATGGACTTGGGAGTTTCATCTGTTCCTCACTCTTGTTTCATGCTTGTCTTGCCAATTCATGGCTACCTTTGTTTTAGCTCACTAACTTCAGGACTACCAAGACATTTCAGCAAAATAAGATACGTCTGGGCTTGGGTTATTTGTTTCTTAGAAGTATATGCAAACAATGTTTTGCTTGGTTGCTACATGAAAAACATGTTTGTGCTTGAGCTTTTATGTTATCCCTTGTTATTGTGATTTACTTAAGCATTGTAGCTTTAGGTCCAATGATTTTTCTCAGGTCCTGTTACTATTGCATTTGAGGCAAAATTTATGAATCTTTCATAGGATTAATAAATTAGATCTATGGAGTAAGCAAAATACTACTACTACTACTACTACTAATAATAATAATAATAATAATAATAATGAATGAATGAATGAATAAATAATTAAATCTACTGTGTAATCGTTTTCTTGTTTTCACTGTATTTCATCACAATGCTCAGTTGCTCTTTTTTTATGTATTATTCTTTTAAATTTTAATCTGACTTTTATTTTTCTTTATATCATTCTGTAGGATCCACGGACTGAAAACAGTCCCTATCTTGGATTCATCTACACATCATTCCAAGAAAGGGCAACGTTCATCTCGCATGGAAACACTGCCAGACTTGCCAAAGAACATGGAGACATAAAGTTGGCTCAAATATGTGGTACAATTGCTGCAGATGAGAAGCGACATGAGACAGCATACACAAAGATAGTGGAAAAGCTCTTCGAGATTGATCCTGATGGAACTGTGTTGGCTTTTGCTGACATGATGAGAAAGAAAATTTCCATGCCGGCACACTTGATGTATGATGGTCGTGATGACAATCTTTTTGACCACTTTTCAGCTGTTGCACAGCGGCTTGGTGTCTATACTGCAAAGGACTATGCAGATATATTGGAGTTCTTGGTGGGCAGATGGAAGGTGGATAAGCTAACAGGACTTTCAGCTGAGGGGCAAAAGGCTCAGGATTACGTTTGTCGGTTACCTCCAAGAATTAGAAGGCTGGAAGAGAGAGCTCAAGGACGAGCCAAGGAAGGACCCACAATTCCTTTCAGTTGGATTTTTGATAGAGAAGTGAAGCTGTAAGTGCAGAATGAAACACAAATAGTCAGTTTGGCCCTTTTTCATGTCCCTTCCTGCAGAATCAGAAGCGGGGTAGAATTTTGTAGTTTCATTTTGTTTACAAATCCAGTTTAGTTTTATGTCTGGGAAAGGGGAGTGAATTTGGTAAATTGTAGATTCAGTTGGGTCTTGTGTGTTTTCTTGAGTATGCTGATAGGGGGCATCTGTAGTTTTGGTATTGTGTTCTTTTACATGGTCTCTTCTATTAGTTTGTTTGTCTTTAGTTTCTTGAGTATAAGCATACAATCCTTGTGGCAGTTTTGATGATGATGATGATGATCAAAATCCTCATACCGCAAATTCGATTACTCTTTTTTGTCTCTTCTATGAGAAATATTATCTACTCTTTGGCATTCAGTCGCTCAAGCAGGAAAATTCTATTACCGTAGTAATCTGATCATTAAGATTTCATTGCAGAATAGAGACTGTAGAATTATACATTTATTCAGAATTTTTTCCAAATAAAACTTCTGCTGAATAGAACTGTACTAATGTATACAAAAATATCATTTCAACTCTGAAAGAATGCTACAAAACTATAGAAGCCTATAATTACATGTGATCTCTATCTACTTGATGCTAAAGATTCCTATTCTTTTCCCAACTGAATTTCACATCCAGAAGATACAGAAACTTGCAATGGAATAAGACAGCCGTTGCGAGATTCCAAGTATTTCTCTCTCTGAAATTTTGTAAATCAAGAAACCATGATTTTCCTGGCAAAAAAAGCATGACTTAGAAAAGAAACAAAAATTTTCATGTGCAAATGCGGAAGGATTCCTTCATATACGGCCTTGACTTCTTCATGAACATACAACTTCATTTATAAGGTCATCAAAAATCAAATCTTCAAGGTCAAGTGCTATATCTTCAACATCTATTTGAAGGTTCCTCCAACTATCATCTTTTGATAAATCTCTGATGACGATATCATCCAATGATTGATCTGCCTTTGTTCTCGAATTCCGATACCAACTAATTCTTTTCCAGACTTCCTCAAGAATATGGATTCCTTTCGGTGATGGATGTACAAGTTGAGTGAAAGAAAAGGGTTTTGGAAAGTAGGCTAATGAGCTTCCATGGATATGAAGTAACACCTCATTAATCAAATCAAACAGAAGCTGGTGATCACAGTTAAAGCCAAAATTCTCTGATGAGCGTTCAGATTCATGGTGTAAATAAGCTTCTAATTCCTTGAACAATGTAGGACTTAATGGCTGGTCTAGCGAGTGCCAAGTCCCAAGGCACCCTTGCTCAAAAAGGCCAGATATATCAAGCACATCTTTCACATAACTGAAATCATTTTCTTCTACTTCGTTTAATTGGAAATGAAGGAAGTTACAGTCAACCATTGAGTGTGCACTTTCATAGTTCTTACTGTCTACACTGATGCAACTGCTAGACCTGTCTTGTTGATCGAGAGAAGAATTTGGTTCATCAATGTTAATGGGACTGGAGACCAACTCAGAACCTGATACAATTTAGAGGTTGCCATTAATGATTAATCCCATCAAGGTGACAAAAAAAGAAGACGAAAAAAGAAGGAAACTAATTGGAAGTAACTATAGTTTCGAGTGTATCAAGTCAATATTGTGTTTCACACCGAACTTATGTTAAAAATGCTAATCATTTCCTGACGTAATAGAAAAAAAAAAAAAAAAAAAAAAAAAAAAAAAAAAAAAAAAAAAAAATGGGACTGGAGACCAACTCAGAAGCGCTGATACAATTTTTAAAGGTTGCCAATTAATGATTAATTCCATCAAGGTGACAAAAAAAGAAGACGAAAAAAAGAAAAGGAAAACTATATTGTGAAAGTAAACTATAGGTCGAGTGTAATCCAATCAAGTATTGGTGGTTTCACACCGAAACTTATTTAAAAAAATGCCTAATCATTTCCTGACGTAATAGAAAAAAAAAAAAAAAAAAAAAAAAAAAAATAAAAAAAAAAAAAAAAAAAAGAAGAAGAAAAGCAAATGTGAGCTTTCTAAAAAAAAAAAAAAAAAAAAAAAAAAAAAAAAAAAAAAAAAAAAAAAAAAGAAGAAGAAAACAAATGTGAGCTTCTTTAAATATCATATTGTAACAGATTTGTATGCTTTACCTTTTGAGACTGGGAGCTCTGCTTGGCCAGTTATGGCTTCTTGAAAATCTGTCTCAAAAACTGAAACAGAACTTTGGTTTTTATGCTCTTTACTGGAGTTAATTATAGAACTTGTTTCCTGATCTTGGCAAGAACTACACCCTTGCTTTTCTAGCACAATTGCATCCTCGTGTGGTTCTTCAGTCTTTACAATTTCCTCCTTACTTATTGTTCGATCACCTGAATATTCATTATTCTCACAGCGGTGACCTACTTCCACCAAGCTTTCCTGAATAAAATGAGCCTCTTCAATAGCATCTAATGTTTCAAATTGTTCACTATCTGCACGAGTGCTCACTGATTTCAAGTCATCACGATTGTCATTCTCAGCATTTGTAGCATCATCCGCAATACTCTTAATTGGCATCCCTGAATGAAGTGGATCATCTGATGCATCATTTGGCAATGGATACAAAGAGTCAAGATCAGGCAGAGAAAGTCTCCTTTTGAAGGATTTCAAACTGTTCCCTGGAGGTGGAAATTTATCTTCATTTGATAATTTTAAACTCCGAGATTGATATCCATGCGACTTGGTCTCTCTGGTTAAACTGTACTCAAACAACCGAGCATATCTATCTATAGACTCATTTAGCGAGGACACTCTTCTAATTTGAGGGAGTTTACTCTTGCTGGGATCATTATCAGAAACACTTCTGTCATGAAAATTTGTGGAGTTTTCTTTACCATCTTGGTGAAGTTTACCCTCATTCAAAACTACAGGAGTCTCTTTCTCATCAATCGGCATTTTACTTCTCGAAGGAACTCCATAGAGGAGGACATTCGCCGATTTGCGGTTATTCTCCTTTTTGCTCTCTTTGAGTGTATGCTTTATTTTCTTCATAACATCTTTCAGATGACTCATAAATGATTGATGCCACCCATGTTTATTTGACCCATGACTTGATGCTGAAGATGAAAAGTCTGTTTCCTGAGCAACAGCAACAACTCCATTATTGTCGGCCTTTAAACCAGTTGACTCATCATGGGAATCCTCTGAAGACTTGGATGCGACAAACTTCAGCGCTGCAGCTCCAGCGGGAAACTTTTCTCCTTTTGGGAAAGACCAAATTTCCTTCTGCTTGTGTTCAAGTGTAGTAGGCCTCAAATAGCTACGTTGTGCAGGTTCAGCTGAGGGAAATGACCCTGATTTATTTAATCTTATTCTCGAATCAGAAGGCAGCTGAACATGGAACTTCTTGGCAGCTTCAGCATCAGGATCCTGTAAGATTTCCAAGAACAACTTCTTGTTTATCTTAAATAACTCAAGAACGTCCACACATTCCACAAATTGGCGACATGAATTTTCTCTGTGTAACTGTCTACTGGCATCTGAAAAGTTCCGGTCCAATGAGGCAGTCACTGATTTATCGCCCTTTTCTGAGGGAAATTCTTGCTTTGCAGAAAGAGAGTTTTGTTTTAAGCAGGCCTCATTATAATTTCCACTGAATGCGACTCTTTCCTCATGGAACTTTGGTAGAGATGGAACCAGCAATCCAGAGGCAGAAGTATCAGTGCTTTTTTGCAGGATTATGATTGGATGAAGGCCATTTGTAGGTCCTGAATGAAGAACTGAATCAGTTCTCTGAAACCGTGACCTTGCAGACATTTCTTTAGCAATTAATGCTTTTATGCGGGCTTTGCTAGAAACCCCATCAGTTGGAGTGGCCTGTACTGTTTGCCGCTCATCCTGGTAAATTTTAGAATAAACATAGTCAATCCCTATTCTGCAATATGCAAAGTAAAAAATTTTGTGCAACAAAATTCACATCTCATGGATTCTCAAGATTGTAAAAGTAGAACATCAACTTACCAATAAGGGTACAGCATCCGCATCCAAATAGTTTTGCACTTCATCCTTAAAATGATCAAAAGAAACTGTTTTTGGATGTCCACAGCCTATGATTAAGAGAAAAAATTTGCTGAGTACATAGGAGGGTATAAATCAAAACAACATATATCTACTTCTAAGAATTTCATTTGCTAGGCCTATCTTTCCCACTTCAGATTTCTCTTTGGCCAAAGTTGAATCAAATTCAACCAAATTGAAAACCTTCAGAAAATTTTCCTTTGACAGATGATTTACTAAATCTGATTCAACTATTTTGGCACCAAAGAATTCCGTTTGTCAAGTGAGAAACTATGCATTCGTGGAAGCCATAAAGTTAACCAACAGAACAAATCCAGTAAAACATGATACATGAAAGGCCTGTTAATACATCAAATTCTCAACCTTAAAAAGATGATTCTACTACCATTGACTCAAAGCTCATTGGTTGAAAGGCTCATTTTAATGCCAAGAAACTGCTGTTTATCGTATTAACCGTTATTTAAAATTATACAACTGGAAACTTTCCTAGTGGCACACACTTTCTTCAACAGCATCTTCAAGGAGTTTTTCCATGGCTACTGCGTGATAACTTGGGTGGAATGCATCCTAGAGTTTGTTTGTAATATCTCGAGCCTTGGCTACCCTTTTTTTTTTTATTTTTTTACCTAAAAAAAAATTAGTATTGCAACTAAAATAGTAATTTTTTTCAACTTTTCTACCTCACTCAATATGCAAAAAAGTTGACCTTAGAAGGGGAGATAAGACAAGGACAATCAAGATTGCTTACATATGGCATGTTTCACTCTTCTATGTTTTTTGCGGTGAGAAGTCGTTTTGGCACGGTGCCAATGATGGTAATCAAGAATATGAAGGATCCACATGCAGCCTGTAAGATATCCCTGAAATTGAATACTAGTTTCTTCGAGGTCCAAGTGCTTTACTATAGAAAAACTGATTCCCTGATATCTATATCTTCCACATAATTCTACTGTAGAACCTGAAACAACATCAAAAACCATGAGAATAACTCATTTAAAGAATAAATAAACATTATTACTGAATATTCAATAATCTGCCAAATAAAAGAAAAGAAAAGAAAATCAAGAATGACTTTCTGAACTAAAATCCATCTCTCAGACAAAAGCTTTTCAAGTATCAATCTTAACTAAGAAGAATTGCCAAACACCTTGTATGTGATATGCCAATATATAAAATTTGAATAGAAATATCCAAATAAACAAAAACCCATGTCAAAAAAACTCATAAAAGTAACAGAAAAAGCTTACGAATTAATGCTTGAAAACCCAAAAACTTACTTATGACAAGTTTCTCGAAACTTTTAGCTGTAGCTTCGCTTCCAAGAACCAGAGAAAGGCTTACGAGAAATTGATGAATCAAATAAAAGTATACACAAGGTATTTCAACGTGCAAGAATAGGGTAGAAGAAGGTCGTTAGTCGTTTTTTCCCGGTAAAGAAGATCAAGAAAGCAGTTTTGGCGTAGTTTGCCCGCCAAAGTCTGGTTCTTTGTACGAGTATCTGTATATGGTTCCCAAATAAATAAGAAGACTTTGTCTAAACTGAAAGGTACAAGTCAAAAGAAAAGTCCGATAAGTAAGCTAAGGGGCTACGTATTAGATGCACAACCATTGTTATTGTAAATAATGATGTTTGATTGGAGATTGAGCGAAGCCCTTAAATTATACAGCAGACCAAGTTCAATTCTTGGGTTACTCATAAAAGGGTTTGGTTTGGGTTGAGGAGGTTTGATGTGAAAGGTTTGGACTTGTTCCATTTTTAGTGTCTTCTCACATGTTCCATTTTTTTTTTAAGTTTTTGGATGAATCATCATTTCCAAAATAAAGATTCACATATGAGAATGGAAACACAGAAATGTGAAAAAAAATATTAAATTAATTCTTGAGTTAATTTTCCAAGATCACATCAATTTCTCGTTTTGCAACTAAATTATTCATTTGATATTCATCAATATTTATATATATTCTTAAACTCTCAATTTTATATATAAAATAAAAAGAAAATTATATCTCTATTTATTTATTTAGCATTCTATTTTCTTTGATGAATTTTTGAATCTTTTTTATTTATTTTTCTATATTTTGATTTTACCACTTCAGGCAATGGGTTAAGTTTAAAATTTAAATTTATTTATAATAATTATTAATTTGAAAATCTAATCATGTTTATATATCATTAAATATTGGCAATTCAATATGTTATTATTTTTCTATTTTATAAGTTTAATGTTTAAACTTTAATTATTTTATTATTTTGAGATATTTATTTAAGTTTGAATTTACTTTATGTGTTTCAATGTTAATATCTATATTACATTAATAGAAATATTTGGCTTTTTCTTTAATCTTTAATCTTTAATCTTTAATTCTCTCTTTTTAAGTATTCTATAATTCTCTTTTCAGAGATTTTTAAAATTTTCTTCATGTTTCTATATATCTTGGTTGGATCAGTTTAGATATTTTTTAAAATTTATTTATAATTATTTATTTTCTTAATTATTTATATTTATATGGCCATATCTATATATTTATATCTATTAAAGATGCAATTAAAAGAATATTATCTATTTATTTATACATCTTTCTTTATTTTCTATAAATTCCTATATTTTCTTCCATTTTCTCTTGTTAATTACATTTATTTATTTTATTCTTATTAGCTGAATTATTTGTGAAAAAATATTTTAATCATATTCTTGCAAAATTTGACTGATAAAATTCCAAATTTGTACGGAAAGTTAAAAAAAAATTAATTGCTTTGTGGATAGAAATATGATGGAATTTAAAAGAGGTGCATGGCACACTCTTATTTAAATTAATAAGAAATGGACTGTACAAATGCGGCTTCAATATATAAATTAAGTTTTATAAATTTAATTATTATCAAAATAAATATTAATTGAATAATTGACCTCCACCACTTATATGCTCTTTTTATTTTTTTTTAATTTAGATAAAAAATTTTTATAAAGATTAGAATATATTAAATGTTTTAATATTTGATCATAGTGTTTGCCATGCTGGCTGTATCTGTTTCTTTTTATTATATTTATTTATTATTTATATTGCGACGAGAATCTAGAAAGAACGAGAATATGTTAACAAATAAAAAATAATTATCTAGAAGCATAATATTCCATTAATACAAACGCCAAATTGGATTCAATTGACCTAACATATTACAAATTAAAGGGTCCATATTTATCACGATACCATATTTATTTTTGTCCAAATTGTGCGTCCATATCCCATTTTACGTCTTACCAAATATATTAGCAAAATAAATAATTATAAGCAAATTAGAGTTTGTATATATAAGTAAGGAAAATTACCCATTAAGGGTGTAAATGAGTTGAGCCGAGTTCGAATTTGCCAGACTCGAAGTTGAGCTCGAAAATCAATGAGCCTGAAAATTTAGACTCGCGTTCAGCTCGATGAAAGCTCAAATTCAGTTTGATCTCGACTTGACACTTGAGTTCAATTCAAAAAATTTTAAACTTAAACTCGGTTCGAGACTTGAGGCTTGAATAATCTAAAATAATATTATATATACTTATATATTAAAGCTCAATAAGACTCAATGAACTTTCGAGCTGAACGTCATTAGTCTCGAAACCGAACTTTTTCGAATTCTTTTCGAGTCGAGCTCAATAATTCGCAAGCCGATTTGGTTCATTTACACATTCATGCTACCAAGTCATTTGAAAATGATATTATAAAATAGTGATTTAGCAACAATATTGAGTCTAATCTGCAAGTGGTCATTAGACTTGACTTATGGTATAATTTTGGGGGCTATCTAGAAGGGAAAATTTTGAAGTTTGACTAGTTTTCTATTGCAATTTCATCCTTTGAAGACATCTAGAAATATAATTAATTTTTCAATTTTAACTAATTAATATAAATATATGTCATTGTCACTTCAAAGATATATCCAATAGTACAATTCCAAAGTTGTTTTACTATGTCATTACCTTATGATTCATTCAAACTAAGGGTTTCAAATGTTGAAAACTCAGATATTTTGGCATTTATTACGATTAAATTTTGGTTATGCCTGAAAATTGGATAATACTACAATTTGTCAAAGAAACACAACCATGACCTCTTCACTTGATGTGTATGAAGGGTATGCCTACTACTTGATTGGCCAAAAATTTAACACTCTCCTTATATAAACAAACACGTTACACAATTTTTTTACGAGAGAAATTAATTTATTTTATTATAATAAAACATAGCAGAAAAAATTAACTTATCCAAGCAAATTAACTCAAACCAACAGGCTTCCTAAGATATTTGAGCCTAACCCGGATAAGTTAAGCGAAAATATCTGATTCAAAATTACTTTAACAAAATAAAACAAGAAAGAACGTACGTAAAATCTCTTTTTCGGATAAAAAATGGAGAGAGAAAAAAATAAAATATAATTATATTATTATAAAAGCAAAACCAAACTCTATGGTCGTGCTAAAAAATACACGTCAATGTTCACTTGTTCAAAAGTTTTTCACAACATCTAGCTTTAATTATAAGGTACTTCACATCATTTGACTGACTTGATTAATCAGTAGCTACCTACCTATTATTATATGCAGCGCACATAAAATAAATACAGTCTCTCAAGATCCCAAAAATCCATGGTGTTCTTGGGCTCAGCCCATTAAATATGGGCTTAAAGTTGTAATGGAAATTATTTGAGAAGAATTTAATATTTTTGGAAATAATAATATCAAATAGCAAAGAGCAATAAAAAAAAATTATTGTATTATTTTAGGTGTTGGTTATAATATTTTAGGTCTTGGTTATCCAAGAGAATAATAAAGTGTCTCCTCCAAGAGATCTTTTACCTGATTTGCTTATTATTTTTTAGGAGTTGACTATCTTCAATCTTCTGCTAATCAATTTATTAATTCTTTTAATTGCACTAAAAAACTAATATTATTGTATTAATTAAAACCTATGGTTCAAGTTTTAATAAAAATTATAAAAATATTATAAAAGAGGTCTAAGTTGAAGATTTTTTTTGCCCCATTAAGCTTTTGAGAATAAAAAAAAAAATGTATACATTTGCCTTTAAGGCCATGTTGGGGAATATTGGTACTTAGGCTTTATATGTGAAGGAAAGCATTGTACATATATATAAAAATTGTAAGATTCATAATGCAAGTTGTGTTGTTGCTTTGTTGGTGTTAGAGGAATCTTTATATCAGGATATTCCCTTTCTTTACAATCTTTTTTTTTTTTTCCATTTGATTATGTATAAGATAAGTAAGGTGCAAAATAAACTATTCGTGCTTTCAAATTTCAATTATTTCAATCCATTTTGAGTAAATAGAAGGCAAATTCTCAAATTTATTAATTCACATGTCTTGTATAATTTTGAAAAAAAAAATCACGTGTCTTGTTTTTGTATATAAAATATATTTTTTGTACTTACAGTTGTAAATGGTGCATATTGCTTATTAAATATCTATTGCTGAATTACTTAAGGCTTTGTATATAAAAAAAAAAAAAAAAAAAAAAAAAAAAAAAAAAAAAAAAAAATCTATTGCTTATTAAATATATAGAATACTTAAGGCTTTGCGTCATGCCCTTTGCTCTCTACAATCTAGACACATGACAATTACTATGAGACGTTAACACGTGTTGGTTTTTAACTATTTCCGAGCCGGAGAGGCCCCACATGACGGTTTTTTGTAGTAGCGGCCCACCGTCGTGTATTTGGACACCGCCGTACCATCAGGCGCCTACCACTTCCTGTCTTCAAATGCACCCTTTACAGTTGGGAATTTCTAACATATGTATACGTGTATGGTCGTCATCTCGTCACGAGCCCTAATTTGACGGGAGAAAAGCTATAATATGATACACCTCACCAATTGATTTACGCCACGTCATCACTCAACTCCTATGACCTTTTTGTTTTCTAAGTAGAGATTATTAGTAATAAATACCAATTTGTATTAGGAAAATTGTACATAACTAAACGAAATTATGCGCTAAAAATGTAATTAAGAAAAGGGTGATCCTTAAGAAAATGTACAAAAAATTAAAAATATAATTCAAAAATGGCATTATAATTTGAGAATTCTTATTTCTTAATAACACAATTTTTGATATGTATATATTTCATGAATAAAACTCATTCGCGACACATAAAATTTCTCGACACGTTGGTCAAAGTACCTTGAAAAATAAAATTATAAAAGGATGTGGTTCACAATGTTTTTTTTTTTTTTTTTTACTAGTATTTTTTTTTTTACAAGTAATCTTTTGGAGTTGAATTACTATTGTTTTTTTTTTTTTTTTTTACTAGTATATCTTTGTGGAGTTGAATTACTATTTAGATTTTAATTTAATTTTGACATTGCAATATTAATTTTTTTAATAGTTATTAATTATTTTAATTGTTGTAAGCTAAATATTGGAGAATAAAATTTCATAATTTAGAGTAAATTTATTTTAAATTTACTGCCACAATATATAAATCTAAATATAAATGCAATGTCATTGAACACATAAATAAGATAAATATTATTTTTTATTTTAGTTAAAACACTACACATTAGTTTAAAAGTTATTATCAAATAAAGCCGTGAGAATACAACCTAATATGTTCGAGTTTTTCTTTTTACATTGAGATGAGAATTTAATTTTCAACATACTATATTACACAACATTAAAAAAATATATGGAATAATTTTTATCTAGGAAATTTGAAGTTTTTAATAACATATATTAGAAGTTTTATTCATTTTGATTACTATTTTATCATATGGTTTTATAATAACAACTTAATATATATAGATGTTATAAACAAGGATATTTGTCTATTGAAATTAAAATTTCTTTTTAAATGTTTTTTATTATATCAGAAAAATTCTTTTTAAGTAAATTGAATTAAGAATTTATTCCTTATATACAAAAAAATTAATAAATTTAAAAAATAAATTCATTTTTAGAATGAGCCAAAAGTTGAGGCTATATAAATATTTTCACATGCTTGTATGCATTGTTTATATGAAGATATTTTTTTTCTCTCAAAAATATAATTTTATTCTCTCTGAAATATACAGGTTCCATTGTTCCTCAAGGACCCACACCAATTACTTTAGTGCAAGAAAGTCAGTCACATATTCCATTTGATAATAATAATAATCTTTTATTCTTATATATATATATATATATATAAAATTTAATCTGAAAATCAAAAAGATTTTGTTATAAGAAAATAAAAAAGCAATGATTAATATATATTATTTAGTGAATTACAACTTCGTTAATTTTTTTCACTTAAAACGAATTAAAAAATTTTGAATTCGAATTAATTTTAAATTATTTTAATTACTAAAAGTCTGCGTTGAAAAAAAAAATATTAGATTGAACCACCTAAATCATTTTAGAATTACTAATTATGCTTTTTTTTTTTTTTTTATGCGCACGCAAATCTAAATTCTCATGGATTAGACATAAAAAGGGCAAGAGAACAAATTGTTACACATTAACTTTTCACTATTTTTAAATTATTAATTAAAGGAGATATAGATTTTGAGTATAATTCTATAACTTTTCACTAAATTAATGTAAAAATTTAATCATTAATTGAAATTGTTTAATAATTTTGTTAATCATTTAATTATCTCAAATAAAATTTAAAATGGAATAAAGGAGTAATTATTTAATCAAAACAATTATGTATCTTGTATTCATTATTAATTATCAAAATTTATTATAATTATTCATCCGCAATTGAAACATCAAAATATATAGTGGTATATGAGTTCAAATATTTGAAAGTCAATCAAAATTATTAAATATTTTTTTAGTATAAGTTATTAAATTATCCATTGATAATATGCTTACTATTAAATTAGAAAAAAAAAATTCTGATAGCTACATTTTTTAGATATTATTAACAAATTTAATTTCTTCATAAATGAATTTGTGACGGTGGGGAAGGCACATTCATGGGAGGGTGGGTAGGCAATGGCTTCTTGTTCTCTGTCTTTTTTTTTTTTTTTTTTTTTTTTTTTTTTTTTTTCATTAAATTCAGATTCTTTAGTTGAAAATTTCAAATTTTCATTTGGATATCCCTCAAGATTATATTAGTCGAGAGTGAAATCGAAGATGTCGTTTGCGGGGATAGATGAATATTATGTTCCAATCTTTCCCTTGCCCTTAGCGGAACTTGAGTTTCCTCTACTTGTCATTATAGGAAAATAACATGTAACTTGGAAAATTGAATAAAAAAAATTAGAGAGAATAATTAGAGATTGTCATAATTTATAACAAAAGTGATGAAAAATAAAATTTGTGAGTATCTTATTACTAGCATTTGTTTCTCTCGTTTAAGGTTTTTACATGATTATTAAGAAAAAAAAATTCCTATGTTATAGAAAGAAAACTTTTATTTAACTAAACTCACCTTTGGTTATTGAGTCAAACTCAAGCAACTCAGTCTATTGAGCAATTCAAATGCAAAAACATCAAATGCAAAAATATCATTAGCATTAGCAGAAACATTTTGACAAGTTTGACATGATGTTATCTTATTTAGAACAGGTGAAATTTCACCATATAAACAGAAATGTAAATTATTTTGCTGATTATGGCTCCATTTGTTTCTGTAAAATAATTTATAAAAAAATATTTTTCATAATTTTTCGTTATTTAGGATGTTCAAGAAAATAAGTCAACGGAAAATATTTTTCTGATCAAAGGAAAATTAAGTCATTTTTTAAGAAAAATAATTTTTCATTTTCGAAAGAGTAAAATATTTTTTGCACATTAAAAAACATTATAAATACATATTTTTTAATTTATTAACCATTATAGTTATTACTACCAGTCATTATTTACCACCGATCATCACCAATGGCTAGCAACATTGGCCACCACCACCAGCCATCGGCTTTCATAATTTTTTTTTTTTTTTTTTGCATTCTTCTCATATTTAACAATAAAAAATTTAAATTATAAAATTTCTATTATTATTAAATAAAATAGTATATCTAAATTAATAAAATTTCTATTATTATTAATATTTTTTTATGATTTTATAGATAAATATTTTATTATTATTAATATTTTTTATGATTTTATGAGATAAATATTTAAATATTTTTAATTAATTTTCAATATTATAAAAAAAATGAAAAAAAGTTATTTTTCATAAAAAATATTTTTTAACAAATTATTTTTCTATAAATTATTTTACGAAAAAATAAAATGACTGTACATGTCCAATGAAAAAGTTGAAATGACTAGGCCATTTTTAGCTTAGACATAATCTGATTTGAGTTGCAGACGGGCATACATGTCAAAGTTTTGCTTGTTAGCTCTCGTTCATCATTTTCCATCCTTATAAATTGTTTTGGATGGTTGGTATAACTATAAAATAATTGTATCTGCAGATTTGGCTTTATAATTTTATGGAATATCAATTAATAATTTTGGTTTTCTATTGTATTTAATTTTGATGAGTATTGATATTTAGATCAGATTTTTTTATTTAAGTTATCCAAGTTAAGTTACGTGGCGTAGAGCTTATTGACTCGAATTGGTATTTGAATAAAATAAGTTTTTTCTGTATATTATAAGTTGATAAATTTTAATTTTTTATTAAATTATTTTTTATCTCACATTTTAATAATTAATATGTTCAATATATATAAGGGTAAAATTAAAACATATTAATTAATTACCTTTTAATATTTTCCAAATGACTTTTATTGGTGTTTAAAAGGACTTATACTTATGGATAAAAAGAGTAATATTTAACTAATAATAATAAATTAATAATAAATAATAGCTTATAATAGTTATTTAAGTTTCATGATAGTATTTTAACAATTAATAGGTCACCAATTGATTTTAAAATTAAAACTTAAGGTTTAAAGTTTAAAGTACTAATTGTTCAATTCAATTTATTTGGTAATTGAATTTACTTTTCATTGATTAAAAATTGACCCCAGCTAAATGGAATATAAATGATTCTTTTTCCATTTATATATCCTTAAATTTAGTATGTCTAGTTACCTTTTATCAAACTTAGAGAAAAATACAGTATGCCAGAGCAGAAACGCCATTATCATTAAATAAAAAAAAATTATTTGTTAATTTGAGATAATTGTTAAATTGTCTATTAGAGTAATAGTCATAATTTATTGTTGTAGATAAAATATTAAAAAATTAATGCTTAAAATTACTAAAATTGATAAAAAAATTATTTTTAAATATAATTTATTAGTGATAATATCAAGTATTGCAAATACTTGTATGGATTTAAAATGAAACTTTATTAGTATTAGTTAATAGAGCTAGTTGTTTCTTTTGATAAACCATAAAAATTATTTATATGCTTTTCTGAAAAATAAAAGAGATAATATTAGATCATTTTGCTTCAATATGACACTGTCAAAATATATAAATATTCATATTAGCAATTAATTCTTTAATTGATTTGGACGAATAAATAAGAAATCATTTGGATTTTCTATACTTAGATTTCTTTTCAATAACTTGGAACATAATGTACACACATGGATTTCAATCATTGTACGTCAATAACACCAACGGAGAAACATGTTACAGTACCAGACTTCACTACTTGAAGATTAACATCCACAAATTAAGATATAAAGTCTCTAACTAAATAAAATCAAATATCGTGCTTTTATTTAGTGCTAGATCTTTATAAAGAAGTCACTAAACCTTTACAAAGAAACAATAAAAATTTTTAAATATGGAGACAAAGTGAAATAAATAATAAAAGATGAATCGAAGAAGATAGGAACTATCACTGATCAACAACGATAAACACAAATTAAAATTAGAGTTAGACCGCTACATGTAAAAAAAAATAATTATGTTTGATGATTTATGACTTTCTTATAATGAAATACTAGTAACATGTAATTACTAGAAACTACTAATAATTGATGACTACCCTTTAATTATTTGTTGTTAGCATCAAACCGAATGAAAATTTTTTTAATCACACTTTACATGGCCATGAGTCAGATAAGAATAATTCTTTTTTTTTCTTTTTTATTGGTTAAGGACATGACATAAATTGATAAAGTAAGCAGACAAATGTACACAGTAGCACGGTCATTTTCTGATGTAAGAAAAAAAATGGAGTAAAATAATAATATATAAGTAGCACGGTTCAATTTTCCTGATGTAAGCAAAGAAAATGGAGTAAAATAAATAATATATTATATTATATTATATATGTATATATGTATAATTTTTATATTTGGAAAAATTAAAAATAAAAAACAAACAAAAAATTATTACTTTCATTGGATCCACATCATTAGTTTCATTACCGTCATTTATCGCATTATGTATATATGTATATAATTTTTATATTTGAAAAATTAAAAAATAAAAAACAAACAAAAATTAATTACTTTCATTGCATCCACATCATTAGTTCATTACCGTCATTTATCATCAAAAACAAAAATTCAACATCACCTTCTTTCACTCTCATTCTTTGCTCTCTCTCTATCTCTCTCTCTCTCTCTCTCTCTCCCTCTGTCACTACTCGCTCACTTCACTCACTCTCTCTCTCTCTCTGCTGGAGCCTCCATTTCTTGCAGAGAGGCGCTCAAAAAAAATAATGGCACCACCACCACTATCGCCACCTCTAAACCGATTTTTCAATTCCCATTTTACCCCTGTCATACTCACTTATTTACTCCTCCTATCCTCTACCTCTGCCATTAACATCTCCACTCTTCTCTCTTCTTACCCTGACTTCTCTTCCTTCGCTTCTCTTCTCTCCTCCAATCCTTACTTATCTGATGACCTCACTCACCGCTCTTCTCTTACTCTTTTGGCTGTCCCCAACTCTTATCTCTCCGCCTCCGTCGATTTCACGCGCCACCTTTCTTCCTTCTCTCTCGCCGACCTCCTCCGCTACCATGTTCTTTTACAGTACTTCTCTTGGTCCGACCTCCACCAGATCTCTCCCTCCGGGGTACTTGTCACCACTCTTTTTCAAACTACCGGCCGGGCATCTTCTAACTCCGGGACCGTTAACATTACCCGGAATCCAACCACCAACACCGTTACTATAAACTCTTTATCACCTTACTCTAACTCAAACGCCACCGTGTTGTCTCTTGTTAAAACGTTCCCTTACAATATTACTATTCTTTCTGTTAGCTCCCTTTTAGTCCCCGACGGGTTTAATTTGATGGCGTCGGAGACTCGGCCGCCGTTAGGGTTAAATATAACGAAAGCATTGATCGATGGGCATAACTTTAATGTGGCTGCCTCGATGCTACAGGCGTCTGGTGTGGTTGATGAATTCGAAGCCGATGAAAGAGGCGCCGGAATTACTCTTTTTGTCCCTATCGACGTCGCTTTTGCAGATCTACCGGCCACCGTCAGTTTTCAGTCGTTGCCAGCTGAAAAAAAAGCTGTAGTGTTGAAATTTCATGTTTTGCACTCTTATTACCCACTAGGTTCTCTCGAGTCGATTGTTAACCCAGTTCAGCCCACATTGGCGACGGAGGCGACCGGCGCTGGAAGTTATACTCTTAATATCTCAAGAGTTAATGGTTCTGTGGCAATTGATACAGGGATTGTTCAAGCATCAGTGACGCAGACGGTTTTTGATCAGAATCCAGTGGCGATATTTGGGGTATCGAAAGTTTTATTGCCGAGAGAGATTTTTGGCAAGAATCCGTCGATAACGACAAGTAAGCCGGGTAATGCCGTGATGGGTACAGCTCCGCCGCCGGATATCTCTCTCTCACCGGAAAGTTCACTAGGATCCGATGGGCAACAACCGTCTCATGTTTCATCGCCACCGGATTTTAGAGAAGACATTAAATCCGGAGCTAGAACTGAATCCGCCATTAATGGATTGCGGAGCTTGATTCTTGCTCTGGTTTGTACAGGATTGTTTGTAGTGGTATGAGCTTTTTTTTTTCATAATTAATTATTTTTCTTTCCTTTTTCTTTTTTTTTTTCCTCATTTGTACACGGTGATTGAATTTGGCTAAAAAAGCAGCCATTGTTTTTTTGGATTTTGTATTTTTAATTTTTGTCTAATTATTAATTTATTGTGTTAATGTTTCAATAATCTATATAGAAAAAGAGCAAATATTTTTTTTCCTGCATTTTCCTTTTTGATTTTCTCTGCAAATTCTTAACTTTTGAGTTAAGAAAATTGCATTTACGTTTCAGTGTTACGATCTGTTGATATATCTCTTTTGCGTTCTACTTTTGAATCAGTAACAGATAGTAATAAGAAGGTAAAAGTTGGAATCTTGACATTGAAGCATGGAAATAGAATTAGAATCCCAAATATATATATTTTTTTAATAAAGGTTTCAGAGTTTCTGGATTTGGAAGGAACTGAAAGAGGAAGAAAGAAAGTAAATGTTGAGAAGAGAAATTGGATTTTTAGAATTTACATGAAATTCATGAATTTGTCAAAAAGTCGTAAATATATAAAGCTTTCTTTCGTTATTTTCCCAGAAAATCCTGAATTCCTATCTGCTCTTTCCAGAACACAATTTCTTATTTATATTTGTTTGGTTTTGGCTATGTCTGGAATAGAAAATTCCAAGGTTAACAGGAGAGAAAAAAAATCAGATTAAACATTATTTAATTTCATCTTTTCTGTCATTTTGTCACTGCTTTAATACTTTGTTAATTGAAATCTGAAGCCAACTCAAATTTAAATAAGCAAATGAAATTTCCAATATTAAGATTATTAATATTACTATTAATATTAGAAATATTAATTCAAGGTCAATGAAATTCATGATCAAAGTAATTTTGCATGTATCAATCATAATTCAGAACCACTAAAATTACTTCAGAATAAAACAGTAAAATATATCGTTTCAAGGTAAAAATTCGAAACGCGAACTGTAAAAATAAAAAACTTAAAAAAGGCTGATGGAGGTCTCGCAAATCTATGCCGTTAGATGTTGATTGGACTCGCCTGCAGTTTGCAGCGTACGGCCACAGATCTAGAGCGATCAATATTATTCGATCAAGCGGGGTAATCTAGAGTGTGCTCAGATGTATCGGATGACGCGTTTTTGAGGATAATTGATGGGTCCCGATATCCTTGTTTTAAGTTCAGACATAAAGTTAATCAAGTAACAAAAGCCTGATTACGGGACGATCATCATCATTTTCGGATGCGAAAGGTGACAAACTTCTTTTTGTAGACAACATGCTCCAACCTGTATTATTCTTCATATATAATATAATAAATAAGTAAAATCCGCGCTATATTAGCTTTTTAACATAATAATTTCAATACGAATGAAGTGGCAATTTGATTGATGGTTTCGATTACGTGAAAATAGCGAGTTCTTAAATTCGAACTTTCTCGATCACAGACGATTTTATCAATTTTGTAAATTAGGAAAGAGCTATCCCTGTTATGTAGCTCTTGTACTTTTATGATAATTTTTGTTGTCTTTTCAATTTTTATTTTGATTTAATACACACTTTAATTTATAAAATTAATTCTATTGAATATTTTAATTTATAAAAATTATTCTATTGAAAACTTTAAATTGAATAATGAAAATATGTGAAATTTATTATTTCTAAAATAAATTAATATTTTTCATATAAAGATCAAAAATTTAAAAAATTATTGCTGTTAGTATAAAATATGTGCAATATTATAAAAATTCTTAATCTCATAGACATTGAATTTTTTTATAAAATTTACAAAAATGAATTTATATATTTGTATAATTATATCATATATAACTTATATTTTTTTCGTATAATTATACATTAAAATAATAAATAAACATTTTTATAAAAATAAAGATAAAAATTTTATTAATATTTATTTTAATAATCAATAAATGTTTGATTAGCAAAAATAAATTGTATTGTAATAAATTCTATTTGTAAAATCAAAAGTTCAAAATCCGTAACTACTATATTATAAATTCTATTAGTTAAATCATGAGTTTATAGGAACTAGTGAGAACTTTAATCACATTGCTATACCAAAAGGAAAAAAAAATAAAGGCATTTGCTTTAGATTCATTAGCAATAATAACAAAGGTTTTGTGATAGTCAAAATCAAAGTTTTTGCTGGTGCTAATTACTAGTCTGTCCTTGTGGGCCTACACTAACCCAAAATCCTTTATTCACTGCTTAGCCTTAGCATTTTGGGGTTAGCCCAAAGATAATTGGGCTTTAAAAGATCTCTCCTTGTGGTGGTTTCATTTTCATCTCACCAACTCGTAACCTTACCAATTGCAACTTGCCACACGATACTTTCTAAATAGTAAATTCCAAGGACCATTACTAGACAGTTGTATTGTATTGTATGTATGTCCAGTCATGCTTAGGGTCATGCCGGGTACGGATCCTGCTATATCAAAACCTTGCTCGAATTTAAAATTTAAAAGTAAATATTTCTATCCTCAAAAAAAAAAAAAAAAAAAAAAAAAATGTCCGTCATGCTTAGGGTCTATGCGGGTCGGATCCTGCTATAAAATCAAAACCTTGCTCGAATTTAAAATTTAAGAAAGTAAATATTTCTATCTCCAAAAAAAAAAAAAAAAAAAAAAAGGTAAATATTTCTCATTCTAGTAAGCCATTAAACCTCTCTTAAACGCTTAATTGGTAAATGTAAAATTTTGAATGCGGCTTCAATATTCAAACTCGCCATATAATTAAGTTTTCCTAATAAATCAATAACAATATTCTCAAAATTGCAAATTTGTATAAAAGTTTTTCAAGAGAAAATTGATTGATATCAATTTTCTTTAATAGTAAATAAAAAAAAAAAGAAAAAAGAAAAGAAAAGAAAGGAGACAAACCACAAAGAACAAAAAAAAAAAAAAAATACAAAAGGGAAAAAAAAAAAAAAAAATACAAAAGGGAGAAACAAGAAGAGAAATTTCTCATATGACACGTACACATGTCCATGGTAATTATATATATATATATATATTGGAAAGGAATAGTGGTTGCTGGATTTTTGGTAGTGGGGTTATAATGGTGGTTGATGGTGGAGGTGGAGGTGGAGGTGGTGGTGATAGCTCATATGACAATGACTATGGTGGTGGTGGCTAATGGATTCCTTTTGAGTCAAACTATCTGGATTGTGTTTGCAAAATGGCTGGCATTAATTGTATAAAATATCTTTATATTATAGTTAATTGGAAATTTGATTTTTTTTTTTTATTTTTTTTCCTAAGACATAATTATTGAACTCGCACATTAAGTTTCCTTCATTTATCAAAATAAAATTCAACATTCTTTTTGCAGTTTAGAATTTTAATAAAAGTATAATTAATTAATTAATTAATACAAGTGTTTGAATTTCTGTTTGTTTTTGCAAATATCAAATATGAGAGCTAGAAATATTGTTAAGCAAAAGTCAAAACCTAGAATTATCTATAGTCAAAATAATTTTTTATATTTTTAACTTTGATAATTGCACTCTACTTTCATATTCAATTGACAAACAATAGAAAATATTAATTATTTTTTTCTAGACTTATAGAAGACGGATGATGAAGAATTTATCTCGACTCGCTTTAAATCAATCATACTTATTAGCATAAGCAGTTTTCGCCAGACTCCTATTTATTTTCTAAAAAAAATATCAATTTCAAAATTTTAAAGAAGTTTTGCAGAATTGTATTAAAATTTATGTATTAATCAATATTGTTTACACCATAGAGTATTGGTAGCTAGGGCTTGGGAGAAAGACAAGGAAGAGAGAAGAAAAGAGTATATATATATATATAGAAAATGAAGCTTTGGGTTTGGTATGGGACAAGGGAATGGTCCTAAACAACTGAAGTGGACACCATTACAAGTCAACAAAGTTGCACGGTGCCAGCGCAGCCAAAGGTCCACAGCTTCATTTTCATTAATAATATAAGAGCAAAACCAAAATATTAAACCTATTATAACACAAGTAGTGGAGGTCAAAGGTAAAAAATTGAATTCATTAGCATATGTAAAATTTGAAATGAATTCTTTATCAATGAGTTTGAAATATTATAAAATTTGAAAGTTCAAATTTTAATCATCACCTAACAAAAAAAAAAAAAAAAAAGACAGTAAAAGTCAAATTTTAATCATACCTAACAAAAAAAAAAAAAAAAAAGAACATTCTTTTTCCACATATGTATAGGAAAAATTTTAGAAATATAGCAGGAAAAATAATTATTTTTTGAAAATATTTTTAAGTAATTTATTTTCCATTTATATGGTTTAAGATTGAAACATTTATTAAATAATATTAAATTTAACTTTAAGATTATAAAAATATTTTTTAAAATATAGTATCTTTTATATTTCTTTTTTTTTTTTTTTTTGTTAAAATATGAAGTTTTTTTTTTTTTTGGTTAAATATGAGAAAAAATACATAGAAATGATAAATTGTGATAATAGTTGGTGACCAACGATGATGACTTGTAGTGAACAATGATAAGGTCGTCGGTCGATGATGAAGAATAGTAGCTTATGACTTTTGGTGATCAACAATATAATAATTACAATGATTTTTTCTTTCGATTGGAAAAAAAAAATTATTTTAAATTTTTTGAGCATTCCAAATATTAAAAATTTTTAAAAATATATTTTATGTGAGTTATTCTTAAAAAAACAAATACATTGTAATCGATTGGCAACGGAACATTCCCAACTTGCAACCTCTTAGTTTTTATTTCAATTTCGAGAAATTAGTGAATTGAAATATATATTTTAAAGAGTGTGAGAGAACTCCACTAAGCTTTGTCTAATTAGTCAATTGAAATATATTCAAATCTTAATAATTAAATAAAGTCAGGATTTAATGATCCAAAGCATGAATATTTATATGTATGATCTTTCTTGTAGATTGGTGCTTTCTCTTGTCTTGGGTTTCATAATTTCATTACAATTATCTTATATTACTTCATTTTTAATTAATGCATTTTATGTTATGGAAGGTTGAGTCCAAGATTGTGAAATCTTCTCTTGGTTGGTTGGACCTCCTTTAGTTTATTTCTCTCACATATATTATATGTTTTGGTTTTTTTTTTTTTTTTTATAAAATTTCCAATACATAATCAATTGAGATAAACTCAATCAATGTATATTTTGATAGGATTTGAGTTTTAATTTTA